TGCGCTGCATCTTTTATGGCACTTCCCTCTTGGAGGGAAAATAATCATATTCATCCCTAAATCGTTTAAAATTGCAAAATTACACTATCGGCGTCGCCAGTCCTTCAACAGATAGAAACTCATAACATTATCTCACACAGGTAAGCGAAAATAAAAAAATATTTGCTTTGCTCAGGAAGTTTGTTTTTTGCTCGGACTTCTCCTATATGTACTAATCAAACTTATTTTGATAAAAGTTGAATCTGTTAATTCCGTTGAGTTCTTCTGGCGTAACGTTATGAAGGATCGCACAAAACTCGCAAGAGATACTTATTTTGCGAAGTAAGCGAAACCGGAAGGTATTGCAATTTACCAAGTCACCGGCGGAACTTTCAACTTCCTTTAACGAATTCGAACAAATTTGAACTAGGTATTCGACATTCCTTACAACCACGGAAAATGCAGATGACATTCCTCGTTGAAGGTACCTTTTCCTTGAACTTTCGTATCCAGTTTCGACTTGGCAAAGTTGAATAACTTATGATCGATCACGACGTGTTTCATGTATAGTTTTCTACATCGAGAATTTTTACTTTTCTAAACATTAAATATATCATTTGCAAAATATTATAAGTATCTATAATGTTTTAATCTCTAAATACCATAATAATTCAAATGTAGATATTAATATAAACTCTTGTATACACATGCATTAAACTATGCAATTACCAATTAATGTAAACGAAAACAATTTGAATATTAATTTTTATGTAAACTATTTTTTTCATTCTATTTTGTATCACGATTTAAAGAAATGCTGAATAATAGATCAATAAAAAAGGTAATTGAAATTCATTTATATGTGACAATGTTAACTATATTTATTAACTATATTTTGTCTTATAATACTAGATTTACAAAAACCAGTGTTTTTTTAAATATATCTCGATAGATTTACAATTACATCATTTTTTAATTGGGCAGTGAAGGTATAGAAAAAACAGATACCAGAGTTTGGGAAACTACAATTCGCTGAAGTAACTGTTGCATTTTAATGTCACAGTTGGATCCACCAAAGTTACGCTCGTTTCTGGAACGTTCTTCGATCTTTCATTGAAGAAGTTCATGATTTTTTCACGACCAAGCCACCGAAGTCACCATTCGAATACAGAAGTAAAATTGGCGAGTTGCAAAATTTCTGAAAAATGTGAATTATTTCGAAAGAAAAAATGTACCTATTCATAACGCGAAAACTCAAAGAAATGGAAGTGCTGAAAGAAGGAATAACTTCGCTATTGCATACTCTCCCAGCTATAATTTGTTTTGTTAGGGAATTATGCTAGAAAAAGAAATTGCAAGGATTACTAAACTCACGAATACTTTTTCACTGTATTTCTCTAGTTCTTTTTTCTACCATAACATAGCCAACACGAAGAAAACCTTCCATACATGTTATTGTTAAGCAAAATTTATACTTTTTACATTAACTAAAATTACCGTGTATATTTTTAAAATTACTATGTACATGTATAATTATTTTTTGCACTTAAAAGTGCGCTAATTGAAAGTTAACAAAAATACCATTCATAATTAATCAAGCACGCATAATAACAGGTTTAATAGATTTTGTTGATTGTGATAATTACACTCTATATCTATTAATATCTATGTGATATATTAGTAGTCGTTATAGATAAATAGTCATTATAAAGTAGTCGTAAACATATTTTAAAATAAGCCTGTTGGAGAAATATATACTTGAAACAAACTTTAATTTAATATTCTGGCTTTAAGCGTTAGATTAAAGCGAACAAAGCGACTTCGTCAAGGGTTGAATAATTTCTGCGTCGACTCCATAGTAATCGTTGATGCTCGTTCGCAGATGTGAATCGTATTTGCGAAAATGCTGAAATTAGATTTACGAACCCCTCGTTTCCAGAAAGTGAGACTAATCAACTATTAACCCTCCACGTGTTTCTGATATCAGCCTGTCGAAGTTCAAACACGTATAATGAAGGTTGATGTCGTCGTTTTTTCTCATTTTTGTTTCATCGTGATAAGAGAAAATTCGCTGGAAGGTTCTACATGAGTTGCGAAATAATACGAAGGCCTCTTTGTGTGGAAAATTGTCCTGGAGACATAAAATATTTCTTACGAATAAAATAACGATAAATCATCAGGCAGTTGGACTCATATTATCTTTTTGAAGAAATTTCTACTATCGATTTGTAAATATTAATATCAATTGCTTGGAAATAGTACCGATACTCGAGAATTTAAAGCCGAAAGGACAAATCTTAATTAATTTAACCATTTTTCTTTAATAATAATCACGATTCTCTTTTAATTTATATAAAAACATAAGAAAAATAACATTTTTATATGTTCTTTGATCCAAGTTTCAAATTACTACGATAAAGTAACAAAATCATGTTACTAGATTTATTTGCATCCTGGTTTCTCGTGTCGATGATATAATTCTCTTTTTAGACATTTTAAACGTACGTATTCCTTTAATAACCGGCTTGTATGAGGAAACGTATAATTGGACTTTTCTCCCATGCGGCACAACGCAAAAACTCACGACCGTCGGCTGACCTGCATTTCGTGCTGAACTACTGAAATAAGAGCGTCATAATTCTAGCATGAGAGAGAAGTCTCATAAATAGATAAAACAGCGCGATCCGATAAACATCATAAACGATTTATCAATAACGTTAACACGTTTATTCATACGCTTTCGCTTACTCCATTCAGAAATCAACTTTCTGAAGTAAAAAAAAAACAAGATTTCATTGTTTGAATTACACATATTACTATACATACACATATAATAGTATTTTCACATATGTAGCAGTAAGAAAAAGTTATTAATAAATTTATTATTTGAATTATAGAAATTTTAAAATCTTTTTTACACCATAATATTTACAATTATTTGCGAAATTTTTTTAACATTATTTGCTAATTTTTTAATCAAGATACGCAGACTTTTAATTCTAATATCAAGCATATCATTGTTTATTTCGTACAGCAGCAAAACGATTGGAGCTACATATGTGCCTGCTTTGGCATTTATGGGGGCATTTATACTGACTGGTGGTTATATAACGGTACAGCAAGGGTAGTTAGGGGTGCGATACTATCAACGGAGGCGCCTCCAATCATTCCCCAATTAGCAGCTGATTGCGTACAGTCCCCAATAGAACTTCGAACAGCTATAGCTTCGGTTAACTGAGAACCCTGAGAAGAGGGAGAGAGAAGAGAACAGATAGAAAGAGAGAGGGGGGGAGGGAGCTGAGTTCTATACAGAGTGGAAAGGAAGATAGGGTTGGAAGTAAACGATGGACGGGGGAAGGGGCGATTTGCAACGTTAATATCCAACGATGCGAAACGGCCTGGGTGCAATATCGGTGATCGCGCAAATTGCGATCGGCAATGGCGATCTTTATACACGGACTCGTGCGAGAGATAATATAATGGTGTCATTAAAGATAGCGCCATTCCACGGTCGTATTGTTATTGGAAAATCGTCTGGCGCCGCCGTCCTTTGGGGGTTAAGTCTCATTTTTATAGCTCGCTGCTTGATCTTCTCTTTATAGCGGTAGATGATGGATTCCATTGAAATTTTCATTTTTGCAGCAATAACTAATTGAAAGATCTAGCGAAAGAGAAAGAGGAAAATATTATTAATATGTTGTTAATATGTTATTAATATATTATGAGTTTGCAATAATTAAAATTGTTACAATGAGAAAAGAGTTTCATTGCATTATTTTAGGTTGAAAATGGACAAATCAGAATTTTTGTGGTGGAATTTATTATAATTCTATTGATAACTAGAATTTTGATTGATGTAATCAAAATCTTCTGGTTCGTTCATTTTCAACCAGAATTTTTTTAAATGTGTATTCTTGTTTTTTTTTTATGTCTAAAATCGTTTATTAGATTTAGGAATTATTCAATGTAATTAATAAGCAAATGCAGACGAATAGAAATATTTGAAAATATCTAAAAAGATCTAAATGTTTGAACGTAACATTACGAGATATATTATTTTTTTTATAGCTGTCATTTACGTGTACTTCTCGATCGGGAGCTGAACGTATCATAGTCACGTTCTAGTACACTTCATGTACAATAGTTATCGTTATCGAAAACTGTTTTCATTTCTATCAAATTCAATTAAACAAGCCTGAATCCTTCCACATGGAGATAAATACTATCGTGTTAGAAAAATAAATGACGAGAGGTCTCTGCAAACATCGGTTTCGACGGTTTGATTAATCTTGAATCTCTTGTTAGCGGTGATCTCGTCGGTTTAATCTTTTTTTCCATCGACGCCAGACAGAATTGCAAATCAAATTTTGTCAAAAATATACGTTGCTTAAAAAATAGTAGAAAATGGAAGAATAGAAAAACTCAATTAATTCACTGTATCACAGAGAGAAAACAAGAAAGTATAGAAAATCTACCATTTATATACAATTTCGATCCATCGACGTATTAAATCGTCCACATTTTCCCAAGAATATATTTTTCTCTAGCTATAATACTTTATGATAAAATAGTCTCTAAAAATATAATATGAACGATTTTTATGGCAATAGCAAGATTTGATATTATGTGGATACGATAAACGTTGATAATTGTTTCGTGAACATAAACATTTATGCCTTTTATTGAGAAAAGAAGAAGAGCACCACTCTAATATAGCCACGTCGTGACAATTCAACATCGACACTTTGTGCATAACATTTGAATAGGCGGTTAGTCACATCAGAGAAAAATGGTTCAGTGGAAGAGGAGAAAGAATATTAAAATGCCGAAAATAATATTGCGCCTCCAAAAGGCGCTAACGACAACCTCTTCTCGTTAACGTTCATTTTTCTTTTTTTTTTTAATGGATTATCCATTGAATTTGTTGTCGTTTAATCCGCAATGCAGTCGAGTGAATCTAATTTGCATCTCCTCCAAATGTTTTCAAGAAAGATACTGCATTCTAATCGTTTTTGTTGCAGAGTTTAGCGACCTAGCCGTTGCGGCCCATTATTCTCCGGGGACCGATAGCGATGTTGACGGCGACGATGACAGCGTTGTCATCAGTGACAACGGTGGCAGCGATAAGGAATCATCTGAACAAGAAGACCACCACGTGCCAACGCGGAGGCAGCTGGCCGAACAACGATCTCGACACGAATTATTCAGACGGTCTCGAAACCACTTTAAGACGTCGGGACATCACGATCAGGTGCGTCCGATGGCACGGCTCGTCGTCACTTAACGGTGTCGTGTTGGAGAACAAGAGTGGAGTGACGATACTGAGAACTGAGTGCCTGCGGCCGCGATCGAATGATAAAATGCGTCCGTTGAAGGTGGTGATATGGCTATGAATTTTTTTACAAATAATCTTACGAGAGGTAGAGTTATGTGATTTCGATTCGAAATGCTGCGACAAATGAGCGATGTAGCGAGAGCAATTTCTATTGTGGGTTGAGAAAAAATTAACAAGGAAATTGTCGGAACTGTTCCTCATCGATTTTGATGGATTTTAAATATGTTGTAGAACTTCAAAAAATATTAAACAAATATATTTTCTCTACCTGTTTATTTCAAAGTTAAGAATCGAAACAATCTTTTAGGATCAGGGTGAATTAAAAAATATGATATTTTAGAAAAATATGAACACATCGTTAAGAAAATATAAAATATAAAAAAAAAAACTTTTATATAAGACATTTTTTCATACGTCTTACAGTTCAAAGATATTCGTTAATGAAAAAAAAATTGTTATTTTTGAGAGGTTGAATCTTGAGATAAACAGATAAAAGAACATGTATCTAATATTTTTTAATACTTCATAACATTTATAAAACCTATTAAAATTGAGGAAGGATAATTCCGACTTTCCTTGTAAGTCAAGGCTTGTATGTGTTGCGTTTTAAAATATTATTGGATCAATGCGCTTATTCGAAAGTATTATTGAAAAATCTTACGGCGGTATTATTCTTTGTCTTATTTTCACGATTTATATTTCACTAATTTTACATTTTTAAATGTAACTTTATAAAGATTTGTCTATAAACAAATTATATGATATTATTGCCCTGACACAACGAATCATGTCGTGAATGAAAGAATCATTTAAAAAATAGAAATTTTAATTTTATCCATCTTTCTTTATTTACATTGCAGCATCTTGTTACGTGTGACGTATAGGCGCGTATATTTTACGTCGTTCAGAAAATTAACCTTTCTTCGTTAACATCTTCTTCAAAGAATTTCTTACGAGTACTGTACTAGAGAAACTACGATACAATTACGCGGAACAACACGAAGTATTTTCGAAAGCGAATGTTTCCCTTGAAAATCGAACCGAGGTATACATTGCGGCGCATGAACACGGCAAAATGTGAAATTAAGGAAACCTACAGATATAGCAAACGAGAAAAATAGAACTTCGCGAACTCTCGTCGGTCACGCACGCGTTTTCGCGTGTCTCGAACAAATTACGGCGATATTCTTATGTATTTATATTTGTCTCTCTTGACGTTTTGTTTCCGCGATCATCACACAAATCACACAAATTATCGCAATTCCCTCCACGAATCTATTCTCCGCGACGTAATGGCGAATATCCAAGCAATTTCGGGAAACGTGCGGATATAACACTCGGCGAAAAGAACACGCAGAATGTTCACTGCCACTCTCATTCCAGCCGCATTAATTTGCGTAAATTATGAGTTCCCGGTCTCTCGTAAATAAATCCTAATTAGAAACAGATTTTATATTTCCATATTTTACATTTTTAATCAATATAATGTTTCACATAAAAAGAACGTACATTGCATATCAAGTTATATCTCACTTTCCTGTTTGCAATATTTTGATATTGTCAAAAATACGACAGAAAAAGAGAGAGATGTCCTCTTTCCTTTTAAACTGCCGAATGCAACGATTCGATTTTAAAAAGTTTACTTCAGTATCATAATGTTAATGATAAGCATAAATGCCATATCGGATCGCTTATGAATATTTCACAAGCTACATGTCATTTTCTGATTATTGGTTTCTTTGTTTCTGAAACAGGAACAGAGTAAACGTATATAGAAATTTATTGGATGTCGGAGATATGACAGAAATGTTAACGGGAGAGAAAGAAAAAAAGCCAGAGAGAAGCCGTCCAACAAAGTAGAAAAAGTCGATTCCCCGACGACTCGGACACGCGTCATCGCGTGTCCCGAACAAATTAGCGATCCCTGACTCCGCTATGGCTGATTTATTCGTCGCGGTATGCATCGTCTGACGAATTATCTCCGTCCTCGTTGGGCACGCGGACTGAGGATTGAATATGTGCAAAAATCGCCGGCAACAGCACGTAAAAGTTTCGCAAACGGAAGTGCTTTAATCAATTCTGCGTCAGCGTTAATAGAAAGTAACTTCGGACTCTCGTAACGGTGACTCTCCGTGCTAATTTAAATTAATAGCAACCTCGAGTGAAGGTCTATCGATATATTTTATTGTCTATCTTCTATCTTCTATCTTGATTATCTCGATATTATTTTTTATCAAATTTCGATTTAATTATTTTTTATTCATTAATTCTTATTTTTATTGTGCGAAATTCCAGTTGCTATTCTTATTGGACATCTGTAAGCGCCGTTTTTAACTGGAGCATAACGAACAGAGATTAACGAGACTAACACACTAATGATAGTAACGTTAATTACCGCCTGACATAAACCGTTTAATCGTCGAGCGAGTGGACGCACTAATTAGGCGCTGCTCGACAATCGAGCAAATCTCAATTCAAGAAATAGAACCAGAAATTGAATTTCTCTCAAAAATATTTGTTCGGTGCGCACAAAAATTCCCTCGATCCATCAATATGACTTAGCAATTATTTAAGCAAGATTTATTTTACTTATCGCCATTAATGCATGACTGAAGAATTTTTTAATTATTGTTCCACTGTTAATTTGTCATACATTATTTGCTTATTCGTTTTAAATAGCAAATATCGTAAAGTGATTAATAAAATGAAATTCGCAAGTCAAGAATAATTATATTGATTTAATCTTTCGCAGGATTAAATTCACGGACGCACGAATGTTCAGTTTACTGGCTATTTAAATAATGTAGAGTTCGTTTAATATGATACACGATCTATTTCATATTACCGCGTTACATGATTATCAGAGGATTGAAACAGGTCGCACGCATTTCATGTTATACACACCAGGGAAAACGTTGCATCAGCCTCGTCATGGAGCTTTTGTATAAAATATAGCGAAGTGAGTGACAAATGTGAAAGTGCACTAGATATTTTAATCGAAATAAGCCACTTATTAAGATCCGAAATAGCATTTTATAAATTAATAGCGCTTGTCGATAAACGACATAAACAAATATCGTTGGCCTAAGTAGGGAGCGGTGCAACGCTTTCTATGTGCGTATACTTGTGTATAGGTGTGATTGCGTTCGCTATTACTTTTACCAGTACATTAAAAAAAACTTTGTACAAGAGCGCTAATTGTAGTATTATATAAGACGCCGCGAGTTTTTCATCGACATGTACAAAAATGCTTTCCTCCTCAGTCGACAAGCGAATTTGCGAAGATGTACACGCACGTGACGTCCGTAGATTCGCCTTTCGATAAGCGTTCAAAGACACGAAAGAACGCGGCTAGAGAGAGAAACACGGTGTTGCAGTCTAGATTTACGATAGATAAACGAGACACTTAATTCTTAAGATAGAGAGTTTCCTACATAACGAGCGAGATTCGCGCCGAATTTGGTCGTTTAAAGCAGACACCGACACATCCCAATCAGAACAAAAAGTTATGATGACATCGAAATGATTCGAAAATAATTATTAACTTTCTAATAGTAAGATCGGGCTCAAATGTGATTTTAAAGCTTTGTCAGTCAAAGTTTATTTGTTTTACTGCAATTGTTTAACAAAGTCAGTTAATAAATTTTATTGTATTTTATTGCTTGAAACGGGAAATTGTAAGAATGATTAAAAACTAAATTATTACAATAAAAAATTATGTATATTATTTTATCCAAGGAGTATACCAAGTCAAGAGAAAGTCGAAACGACTTTATCATGACAGTCAAAATGAAGATTTTGTATTAGAATTGATTATTTATTGACCTTAACAATCAAAATAAAGTCATTTTTATTGTTTGTTGATTTTTGTGTGTTCCTTGCTTAAAAAAAGCTTTTCTTTGTTTATCTGCGTATTTTTTTGTTTATTATTATAAGGGAAGAAGTTTTATATTATTGTTTTTTTTTATATTAGAGAAAAATAATTAGAGAAAAATGGACAAAACAGAGCGTGAGTCGAATCCATCAGATACAAGATGAGATCCTGAAAAACTAAGAAAAAAACCTTACTAGGGGAGAGATAAAAATCATTTTTCGATCAATGATGAGTTATTTTAATGTTATCATGACATGTTCTGCTTCCTAAAGAGCACACGAAAGTCAATAAGAAATCAAAGTGACTTTATTTCTATTCTTAACGTCAATAAACAGTTTTTATAACAAAAATCATCGTTTTGACTTTCATGATGTCAAAATAAAATCGTTTTGACTTTCTCTTGAACTTGGTGTGTTCCTCGGGTTGGGATTATTCCACATTCACGAGTGCAACGCAGCACATGTGATTTTTTGTAAATACGGAAGTGAGTGCAGCGAGGACGGTGTCGGAAAAAAAAACGAGTATGATGCTTCGCCCTATTCTTTCCTATTTTCTCGCGAAGGAAACTAGTCAACGAAGAAAGCCGTGCGATAATTGTGCCGCCGATCTCTTCTATAGAGGGACAATGTAGGTCGCGTGAGCTTGGCTTCTTCTTGCGTGTGTACGTACGTGTGCGTGTGTGGTAAAACTCTTCGAAAGAGGGTTGATAAGCAAGCATAATGATTTAGAAGGAACGATCATTCGCGATCTTGGGAGTACTTTTCCGGGTTAGTCCAGGCGTGCGTGATGACGTAGATGATGAAGAGGTAAGAGAAGATGTGCGCGTGTAACACAGGGTAGACAATAGGGACCATCGAGAGGGAGACTGTTATCAGGAGCGAGCGA